ACAATGCTTAAATCAATGTATAACTTCTGAATATTGTTCGTAACAGGATTTGAACCCGAGTCTCCCGAATGCCAGCACGCAATGCTAACCACTCGGCTACTGCGGCCGTAGTCCTTTGAGGACTACCCGAGGCCACGACATAAAAAAGCTCTCTCGCCCATTTAAATTATGAAATTTGTTGACAAAAATTACTTTCTTTCAGTCGGATGGTACTGGAAAGGTGAGTACGTAAAAAGGTCGGCTATTATTTTCGTTAATGTGTATTTATCTTAAAAATAAATTACTTAAATTGAAAATATACAAGGGGATTAAAAAAATTCGATTAGAGACCAGAAAAAAAAATAATAAAAAATTCTCTTTGTATTTTTTCGTAGTCTTTGTCATTTTTTATCTTCTCTGCATAATCGCCAATGATTTCAATGCATTTCTTAAGCCCTCCTGTCCGGAAGAGAATGTTAATCCTTCGGAGTGTATTTCTGACATGAAATAAATCTCCCCATAAAAAACCATTATTTCGGAGCTGCACTGTCAGCAATTGGATCGTCTGAAGGAGACAATCGCCCAGAAGCGCTCAGCTTTCTCCAACTAGAGGGGAATTATGTTTCATCCAGACAACGCCAGAAAACACGAATCGATCGAGACTCACCAAAAAATGCGAGAACTTGATTAAGGGGTTCTTATGCATCCCCTTTATAGTTCGGATGTCGCAGCAAGTAGTTGTCATCTGTTCTGGTCTATGGCAATGATTTGACTGATGCTTTGAATGACTTGGCCTCACGAGAACACTGTGAAGATAGATTCGTATAGTATTTATTTCGTCGAAGAGGGAAAGGGCAAATGCAATAATGCATCACTTGTTACTCTACCTAACGCAAAGTTATATAAGTATTTATTTATTTTACCGTTATTGATCAGACTGTTTATGGAGAAATAAACTATAATAATGAATGTCTTTGTGATATTCCAAACTGTTAGGAAGTCTTTAATTTTTTCAATTAAATTAAATTAAATTTCGAAATTTCGTTTCTTTTTTTATTCATCGCAGTATGTACATATGCATGTATGTATGTATGTATACAGTATGTAGAAAAAAATGTTCCTAATTAAGCTTCCAAGCCGAAAAGAAGCTTAAGCGCAGAAGAAAGAATGCAATAAAATAAAAAATAAATTCAAATTTACCGTTATCGAAATATTATAAAAAATATTTTTTTCTTTAGTTTTGTTGAATTTTGTGAATAATAAAAATTAAAAAGAAATTTAGAAAACAATATGAGACTACGGTAGCCTGTCCTACTTGTTTTAAATGAAAGCTTTGGATTTTTTATTAGAATTTTAATATTCGATTTATTGTTTGCATTAGGCGGAGAGTGAATGCAGCCATTAGAATGTATAAATTAGCATATTGACTAAAAAAGTACAAGTCGCACACTAGAACTGAAAAAACGACACAACTCAAAAATATTCAGATGCAATTTTTCCTCATAAATTAGTTAACAGAAACTCTACTGTAAGAAATTATTTCAAATCACAATCTGTCTTAACTGGAAAAGTACCGTTATACCTTTCGTGTTACACGCGTCGCTTGAATGGCAACAACTACTTCTTTGTTTCTCCTGAATATTTGTGAGATTTTTGAAGTTATGACGTTTTTTGATTTAGCGCACGGCGTGTTCATATCTATTGTATGTATGTATGTACGTATTATGTATTTGCAATAACCAGTTTGTCAACTTTCTTGTGAGTTCTAAACCGAAAATGCATGAGATCTATTTCAAATGGCAAAATAGCATTTTTTTCTTTTGCATTCATCAAGAGCAGCTGCGCTTATTTGCCTTACATACCCATACTCCTATGGGCGAAGCTTACTTGCGTGTATATGTATGTATGTGTGTATGTAAATGCATACCTGTCTATGCAAGAGCGAGTGACTGCACAGCAACCCAATATTTGTTGTTGTATTCTAATAATTATTCTTCACCAGGTTTCTGTGTGCATGCGTGTGTATGTGTGTTTGCAATTTTACTAAGAGCCACGGTATGCCATTAAAATGCAAACATTTTTCTGCTGCGTTGTTACTTTTCTAACAAATCACAGATTCACTAACTCATATGTTGCAATTTTTATAATTTTTTTTTAAATCTTTTTTTTATTATTTATTTTTATTTTTATTTTTCATTGAAATTAACCAAGCATTTTTTTAAATTTTTTTGTTTTGCAAGTCACTCTACAGAAAAGCTAAATAAAAGAGTGCATAAATAACAGTATTTTTTTGTGTCATTTGGATTGGCTTTATTTATAAAGCAGCTTGATGAGACTCCGATGCCAAGTAAAACAATGTACCGAGTGTTAACAGGCGCCCAGCATAGGCCAACCAGCTGAAATACATACATACATATAAAGCAGTGGTGTTGTATTTAGTCGATTTCCCTCAGCGGACAAGCCAATTTGTGTTTACTTTCGCGTTTCGAGTCACTAATCTAAAGTCACATTGTGTCTTATGTCTTATAAACATACATACATACTTACATACAGCGCTTAGAAGAAATATATTTTTACTTTTTATATACATACACACATACATAGGTGTATGTTCGTACATACAACTTGCAAAAATTAAATACAAAAAGTAAGTCTAAGCGGCCGCCACAATACCTTCAGCTTTGAGTCCAGCATCGCATGGTTAGTGTGGGCAAAATCGCTGCACCCCCACGGCGAGTGCCAATCCTCCAATGCCAAGCGTCAGAAGCATACAGCTACATATGTAAATGTGTAAGTATGTTTAGCGAATAACACATTTTTACATAGAGACTTTGCGGCCTATCATCGCTATTTTGCCGCGCCTTTAATCTACTTCAACGCAGTCACCGCCTTTTGCAGCTTCATTTGAGTTTTCTTAGGCGTACACCCTACTCCTGGCAGGTTGAGTTGTTTTGCCTTCGCTCTATTACATAATTACTTAAAATTATACATAGTGGTTGGAGTAAGTTCGAGTGAAGGTAGTGAGAGATTGTGTTTGATGTTTTTAAGTGAAAAACAAAAAAAAAAAAAAATTTAGGTATGAAGTTGAGCGATAAAATGAATAAATGCGGCGACACCAATCGATGACGATGGAACAGACTTTCATTACCAGATTATGAGGCAGTCCGAATAGCAATAACCCGACTGAATAACAATATAGTAGCAGGAACCAATGGGTTTACGTCTGAGCTACTCATATACTGGAACATATAATTGTCACTTTGTAACCGCTGAAGCATTTTTTTGCCGAGCTACTCCTCGAATTCGTGGTATTCCTCTTGATGGAGGGACCTAGAGTTTATACTAAGCCACCTACGAACGGCTGATGATCTATTTATGGGGAGCTTTTGATTTTCGTATCGTATATACACTCTGAGGGATTGATATTTCCTGCCGAGGGGCGACCGGAATTCAAAAATTTAACTTAATTTTTTATTTGAAATAATATTATGCTGGATGTTGGTCGGATCAGGACTCGAAGCCAGTCCTTCTCGAGGGCAGTAGGCAATGCTTATCAATTGCTACTCATATACACGTGTATGCATTAGTTTCTGAAAAGAATATGGCCGGTGGAAAGCGTGTTAGAAGATAGGAACTTTAGTTCAATCCACAAAAAGGGGACCTCCAAATCCGCGTGGGTGATTTTTTATCCATTATCTTTTTGGCAACACTGGTTTAAACAGCTGACGCGCGTCTCGTGTTTTCTATCTCTGCCAAACATCTTCAGTTTGGTCTATAATTAAATTGACGCATTGGGGAGAAGCATTTATTCGTGAGATACCGTCTGACATGTTGGAAAGAGTATGCCAGAATTGGACTAATCGGATGGACTATTTAAGGCGCTGTCTCGGTCAACATTTGCAAGAAATCTTCAAACATTAAATTATATGGACCGTACTGTCGACTCAAAAAAAAAAAAAAGATTTCATGCGTGTTTATTTAGAAACTTTCCTATAGCTCTTAATAAATCACCCTTTATCATGGAATAATCCTTCAAAAAATGACATATATTTGATCGCATACGGTGCGAGTCACTAAAGCCCGCCGAAAACGAATTTTCATGCGCTGCTTTTATTTCATGTCATAAATACAGTTGGAGGTCTTGAGGTCTGTAAGAGGGGGCGATCGCAATTACAAAAATTAATTTTCGTTGTAAGTCTACACATTAGCTTAACCACTTGGTTACAGCGGCTGCTCGATGTGGCTTCAAACAGGACTAGATCTTCAGTGAAAAAGGCTTGGGATCAAAGCAACGACACAAAAAAGCTCTTCGGCGAATTGAAAGCCCACTGCGACAGCACGTAGACCTGCTGCAACTATAACGCTTTATCCGAATATAGAATTTATGTCCAACTAATATGGCTTTGTGAACTTACTCAGAAGAGCACCCGGGTCTTCATCGGTTTTGAGACAGGCATCAATGGACTATTTAAACTAGTATATGAAGCTCTTCATGTGATTTCTTCATCCAAGTTGCGTTTTTAAGTTGAGCAGCTACAGTCTACTACAAGGTTAGTTCTACGAACCTGCAGAATGGATAAAAAAGGCAAGCAAAGCATTCTGCCCTCAACCATTTGACCCTCCCATAGTAGAACTCTGTACTCCCCACTCGGCTAAGGGAGCAGGGAATTATTGACTCAAAACTGTACATCTTCAAGACACTCCATTCAGTCTCAATTGAGTATGTGAGAAAGAACTCAAGCTGGTCTGCTATAATAATGAAATAAAATACGGCAGTGAATATCGCTAAAGAGTCGCTACAGAATAACGAGGTGTATTGAATGGTAACAGGCACGCAGCGTCGGCTGAAAGCTGAAATGCTATTGCACACTTTTCCCAAAAGTCATTGCAATTGCGACTAGTCTTCTCGCGCCGCTGCGGTAGCCACCCCAGCTCTAAAGTCTGACAGCGCTGCAGAAAATGTGGCACAACTGAGTAAGCAAGGAGGCCCAGTGCATGTGTAGTAGATATACATTTGTACGCATATATAATATAAATATGTGTACATATGCATGCTTGCATTTGCAAAAGAGCCCCACTGGCTTTGAGCATAATTTCAATAACAAAAATTTCCAACGCCAGCGACCGTCAGCGCTAGTACTAGTCCATAAATCCACTGACTGTAGCTGACCATTGGCCGCTCCCATCCCACATGTTTATCATTTTTCCACCAATAGACACAGTCCCAGAGGCTTTCTGTTCTCTTAAAGTATTTTCATTTGGCATTTTCACGCCTCACGCTTTCCAGTGAAACCAATTTTTATAGCACAGCATGACGTTGCAGATTTCAGTGCTTTGCTAACATATGAACATACATACATATAGAAGTGCTCGTATATGACTGGGAATGAATGTGTGTATGTTTGTATGTGAATTTCTGCCGATTCTTATACCTTTCATGTACATGAAATGATCCGAAGTAAGTAAGTACCAGAGAGTGAAGTGATGAACCCATCAAAATGAATGAATCGGGCGGATCACAATGAGGAGTAGAGTTGATTTAGACAAGTCTGTCTGTTTTGTACGCAAACCAGTCTCTGAATTTTTGAGATTAATCTGGTACATTTTAACGACCATTTGACGGACCGATCACTTTTCATTTTTCAGATTTGTTATTTTGGGTCATATAAATTGTCAGAGAACAGCATCTAAGAGCGTAAAAACTAACTAAACCAGAGGACTATAATATATATCACCCACATAACCGCTTTGTTCGCATATACCGGGTATTCCCATAAGAGGTGTGAATTTTTTGTCGAAAGGAAAATTAAATTTTTTGAAGTTTTAAAGATCAGACTTTTATTTCAATGTGAAGCGGTTGATAAGCCATTAATAATGGAAAGTAAAATCAACCAAATGGCCACCTTATCTACGCTTACCGTATCCTTTTTATAAAATTTCCCAACACCAAATCGCATGGCGTCTGCTGTATGCCTTCAATAGAATCACGACTTCCATTTTTGAGGTCGTGAATCGACGTTGACCTGTTGGTGCAGACGTTTTTTTCGACGTGGCCCCAAAGGAAGAAGTATCAAGATGTTAAATCCAAAGATCTCGGTGGCCAATTGCGATCACCTCTTCGAAAAACAACGCGATTGGGCAACTTTTTCCCCAAAAAGATCGATGGTTTCGGTGCTTGTTAAAAGTAAACTTTGTCCAGAGCAATACCATCTAATTACGGTCATAGAAAATCATGAATCATCTCACGCTAGCGCAATCCATGCACCGTAGCGATTGTTCTAGTCTCATTTTTAAAAAAGTAGGGTCCAATGAACCCACCAGTCCTTTTTTTTTTTGCACTAAAGAGTAGCACGTTGAGGGTTTTCCAAGCCCCAGATGGGACAGTTTGCTATTGACCTAGCCATCGGAGAAGAAATGGGTATTAGCAGTCAAGAAATTTTTCTTTGAATATTTTATAGTGAATTTAAATAATTTCAATGCGTTGTTGAAGCGTGTAACTATCCATTTTCATTACTGGCGCAGTTTTTTACTTCGTAAATGCCATATAATTACTGCTTCAAAAGTGACATCGAGCTCTTATTGGAAAACCCTTTATGATGTAATGTTTAATCTCAAAATGGAATACCACAAAATTTGATATGGTCATGAGAGGTATAAAGACATCGACAAGGCTGACGTCAGCTCTTCCTTTTTGTTTTTAATTCTTACTTGGTTATTTCAAGGCTTTTTTGTGGTTTCGCCGAACAGTTTTGAAATGAAAAAATTAAATAAAAACAAAATATATATATTTTTTTAAACAACTTTGAAATAAAATTTAATTAAAAAGTGCTTCGTCGACTTCAGACTCCCCACACATACATATGTACATACATATTCGTATTTGTCGACATAAGAGCTTTGAATAAAATATTTTACAAAAAAAAAACCATACGAAACGACGGTTAGACAATTGAATGAAGCCACACCAAAGTGGAACAGCGCTCAAACTGCTCGCTTGCCCGTCAAAAAAAATATCATCGTTGATTCATCATCATCGTTCGTTCATTAATGTGAAACTGAATTGTCGGCATCAAGTAACAAGTTGTACTGAGTGGGCACAGGCGAACAGCATGAGTTGGAAGCAATTTTTACAGCAAGTACTCGTTTCACTTTGTACACCGTTGTAAGTGCATTTCAGCCGCAACCCGAATTCAGCTTACGCCGAGAGAATGCAATTCAATCGCGTTTGCGAAAATCGAATATTTGTTTTTGTAGTTACATACAAATATAAGAAAGAGCTAAGTTTGGGTTAGACTTTTCCGATAGTGCATAAAACGGGCATGCCAGAGAGCAGCTGCGTTCGGTCTTCAATCAAACTCTACAAGTTCCCCATCGTGGTGGTGCTGCTATATGATGGTTGGTAACAACATCTGCTGAGGGGGCATAGAGAGTTATATGCCAAAGGTTTATGGAAGATAGATAGTCCCATGCACGACATTCATATATGTATTTAGTATTTAGTGGTAGGCGTTATACAAGATCCTTTTGTCCCGCCGGTGTACGCAGATCTTGTCATCACAGCACAGCATGTCAGTATACAAAATTTTTTTTAGTATAAGTTTTCTTGAGTAAAAAAAAAAAATATATATATAAATCAGTGCGTTAAATATCTGGCAGGATTTGTTGGGCACTTTCTAAAAAGTTCCTCTTATAGTATGTTTTTATGACCTGGAATCCAATTGATGTTATGATGGTTTTTCCAACAAATTAAGGCGCACACAGTTTATTCTAAATCACTTTCATACGGCTGCTGGTTTTTTTTAGCGAGCAATGGAAAAATAAATCCTCTGATCGAAAAAAAAAATCAAACTTAACAAGACCCTCAGCATTATCGTCTCATATATGATACAGGAGCATGGACGATGTCGACAGACTAATAACATCTTCACGAGGTGTTTTTGGTTTATTGTGCTTGATGCTCGTTTCGCTTTAAGTCTTGCTCGAAAACAAGATCCTTTCGTAAAATCTTCCATTATGGGGATGGGCACAGTTTCAATTGTTGAGCGCGGACCCATTTGGACTTTCTTCAAGACCGTACGGCTTCTCTGAAGATGCGCACTATGCACTAGAGTAAATTTGGAGAGAAACCGATTTATGGTTGCTCGTATTACCGACTCTGCTGGGCGGATATGTGGACTGTGTGTAAATCAAGTAACAGCTGTCAAAACGACCAACTTCGAAAAAAGTATTGCCCCATTGAAAACCATATGTCTTAAAAAACACCCTTTACATTAGGTGTGCATTTATATAATTTATGATTCTTTTTTAAAGAACATTTTCCTCAAACGCCTCTCTAGCATGAGCTCTTATCATTTACTATTTCGTTGTCTACTTGTTTTTTTTATTGTTTCCAAGTAAAATACTACGTAAGACTTTTTAATATACTATGCACACATGTATGTATGTATGCCCATTGCTACCTTTTTATTGCTTCTTTGAATTTCAGTGATTGTGTGTCTGACGTCTTTGCACAATTTTTTGCGTTGTCTCGCCAGTTGCTCAAAATATATTACTGAGTAATGAGCTGTACTTAATGGGAATAGGTTAGCAGAACTTAAGAGAGGGAGTGCAGTTAAGTACTCTCGACGCGCGGCAAAGAGACAATTGAATGAATTCATTCATACTCTACAACATTCGCTCAGGCTTATCATTAAAATAAGAGCTTCGAACTAGACAAAAAAATTGTAGTACATAAAATAAAAGAATAGAAATCGAGACAAAATTGAAAAGTCAGCGCAAAAATTGGTCTGACGAAAAACTGTGTGTTTTTGGAGTGAATCGAAAGAAGTATGTATAGACTTCACGTTATTCCATATTTCTTCCCCCATAGATATGATTTTGTTTTCTATATTCGTAAATTCCGGTTGGAAAAAATAGAAAAGTTCAAGTTCTTAAGTCTTATTTTAAATAATTACCAGAAGGAAATAAGCTGTGGTTTATGCGGGGCGCTGGCCTGGGGTTATTCATCACAATAACAATGCTACCAACATTAAAAAAAGAATTAACATGAAATAATAAGAACGCAAAGCTCAAATTAAAAATTCAGCTTACTTTTTGCCCACAGTAGTATGCTATACGGCTCCGACCTCGCCGGATTCGACGAATTAAAGCGTAAATATACCAGTGAGGAACTAGTTTGCGTTCAAACAGACGGAAAAACGAGGAGACTCAACTCGTTATTCTTAACTTTTCGGTATAAATTTTGAACGGGCTATCCCTGCTCCTTCTGGTACTTACATATATACTGTATTTCATGAGGGGTATAAAATGTATTATCTCTTGCTCTCTCTACTATCAAAATATGGCTAACCCTCAGTGGGGTAAGTTTTCCTAGACCGTCTTTTTTTACATGCGAATAGATCATTCATTTACTAGTATATCTGAATATACATATGTATATATGTACATGTTTGTATGTATGTATGTATATACACATATTTATGAACATTCAGAGCCAAGCCGCTCTTCATGATGACATTTTTATTTTCATACTTGTTGTTGTTGTTGTTGTTGTTGTTGTTATAGTTGTTGTTGTTGTTGTTGCCAATGACAGTAATATCCATCCATCCATTCATTATATAGACCGATTCGTCCGTTGTTGACATCATCACAGAGTAACGAGTGTACTGAATAAGAGCAGGCGAACAGCAAGTGATGAAGGCAGAAATTTTCATAAAACCCAGAGCGTGTTTTTTTTTTCCTCAAGCTCCAAACAAGCGATTGCCCAACCGTCTGACGTCTCGCAGACTCGCCTTGTGCTGTATATACTCGTATGTAGTCGCAAGTCTGTCCGCAACAGTGGAAAATTGTCGCATAACAGTAAACACGTAAAAGCATTTAACAAACAAACGAACATGTGTGTGTGTGTGTGTGTATGTCTGTATGTATATGGCAGCCAGTGAGCTAAATTGCAATGTAAGCCTACCAACACATAATTTGATATGCTTGTACGTGCATTCATACATACAAACTCGTATGTACATACAATATGTATGCATAT